GTGTGTGTGTGTGTGTGTGTGTGTGTGTGTGTGTGTGTGTGTGTGTGTGTGTGTGTGTGTGTGTGTGTGTGCTGTGCTGTGTGTGTGATCTTGACAAAAACAATGAATCTGGACACGCAAAGCAGGAAGTACAATGGTATGGAGCGGTTGTGGACAATGTGGAGTTTTTGAGTGCACTGCCAACGTACCGCGTTGAAGGGTTTCATACATGCTGGGGTCAATCCTGTGGAACGTTTCGCTTCCAGGATTCTTGAAGAAGCACTTCTTGCCCATTGAAATTGCCATCGTCTTAACTGCAGTGATTTGTGTGCGTGTGTGTGTGTGTGTGTGTGTGTGTGTGCGTGTGTGTGTGTGTGTGTGTGTGTGTGTGTGTGTGTGTGTGTGTGTGTGTGTGTGTGTGTGTGTGTGTGTGTGTGTGTGTGTGTTGAAGCAAGAAGGGGGGAATGACACGATGCACGCGCGGTACGCAGGTCGGGAGTCACTTGCATGACATCAGTGTCATGACAAAGCAAGAACCTCACTTCGTTCGGCGGCCTGAACATCTGTCTGCAACGCAAGTGTGATTTCCACATCCTCAATCATGTACACGGGGTACAGGAACCGAAGCCCAACCACGTTCTTCATCACAGACCAAACGAAGATGCGCAAGTGAGTGACAGAGAGAAAGAGAGAGCAAGATGGCCGACTGATTGCAATGGTGTCAGGCAGTGTGATTCGCTCTGTGTGTGTGTGTGTGTGTGAGAGAGACACGGACGTATGGATGCTGTGACACACGTGTCTTGAGCAACCATGCTCCAAGTCCCGCACTTGACTGACCTCTGGGTGGGCTGCAGCCTCTGCGACCTTTGTGACGGAACACGTCATGGTGTTTGTGGTGACAATGGCATGGGGAGGACACGCGAGCGACGCCTCTGTGCACAGCCAAACAAGCGTCCACACTCATGTCGTGAGATTGGAGAACAAGAACGACTGCTCTGTCGTCCTGCACTTGAGCAGAAATCCGTGACGCATGCACACACACACACACAAACACAAACACACAAACACACAAATACACAAACACACACAAACACACACAAACACACACAAACACACACAAACACACACACACACACAAACACACACACACACACGCACGCACTTGAGATGACGTCGCGTTTGATGTCGAGGTTTTCGATGACGGCTTCGACGATGAGGTCGGCATCTTTCACCGCGTCCTCAATGTCATCACTGAGGGTGATGCAAGTCTGGACCTTCTGTATGGTTGTACCGCAACCCAGTGGCAGTGCAGATTGTTGACGTCAGTTCAGCTAGCAAGCAACACGTGTCAATGAGCACATCCTGTGCCGTCCTCACAAACATGTGCATCCCACTTGACACGCACACAGAAACGCATTCACATATTCAGTTCGCACGCATTCGAACACGTATGGACTGACATCTACGTCGTCGGCACTGATGAGCCCCCGGCGATGAAGCATATCCACCTCAGCCTTCATGATACCAAAGGCTGAATGCAAATACAACATGGCGTAACACGAGCGAGGGAGTGTGTGTGGTGGGGGGGGGTGGTGAGCAGCTGTGCGTCTTGCATGGCGCGATGCACTGGGTGTCGTGTCAACGAGGCGGTGTTTGCTTACCTTCCGTCAGCTGTTCCTTGCTTCGGTCGTACATTGTCACCTCGCATCCACACAGCACGAGCTCCGCACCAATCCGTCGACTACAATGGGAACGAAGGCGACAAGCAGGTGAGCAGCAGAGCTGTGCATGTGCACGTTGCATGTGCATATGGTGATGTAGTGTACTTGACACGAACACCCAACACACACACAAATCCATACATCCACACAGTCACACATCCATCCACTCACATCCATCCACACACACGCGTCCACTCACACACACCCATCCACTCACCCCATCTGGCCAGCACCGCCGATTACGGCAGCGCGCACCGCCCCTCGCAGACTCATCGTCCTGCCTTCCTTTGTGTTTGTTGTCCTGCCTGCCCTCTCTGCGTTTGTTCTGTGTGGTTGCTGAGTCAGCGAAAATGCGCGAAAATGCAGAATTGCAGCCATTTTCAGTGGCTCAGGTTTGTTCTGCTGGATCAACCGCAATCGAAGGAGGGGATATGGGCTGCTCCTGGTGGATGGATGGATGGATGGATGGATGGATGGATGGATGGATGGATGGATGTGAGGAGTGATCGTGTGTGTTCGGCTACAGGTGGATAGATGGGTGGATAGATGGGTGGATAGATGGGTGGATAGATGGGTGGATGGATGGCGATGGTTGGTTGGTTGGTTGGACGCGGTGGCTCGTTCCTGATCGATATGGTGTTGTATGTCTCGTACAGTTTGTTGTGTGTGTGTGTGTGTGTGCTTGTTTGTTTGTGAGTGTTTGTGTGTCTGTCTGTCTATCTGTCTATCTGTATTTGTCTGTCGGCCTTGATATCTCTGCCTGTATACTCTGCCTGTGTGTCTTTGTATGTGTGCGTGCGTGTGTGTGCTCGTGTCAGACGATGCTTGCTTTCTAAGTCATGCGCTTCTTATGCTCACATCATCGTGTCACACATCACGTCTTCTGTGTCTTGCACTCTCGCTCCCAACAACAACAACAACAACAACAACAACAACACCCCCTTCCTTCCTTCCTTCCTTCGCTCTCTGTCTGGATAGGGCTGCGTTCACCCATTCATTGCTTCATAGCCAGGCCAACCAACCCCACCGACAACCTCCCCACACACACACAAACCCACATCCCGCAACCGCCACCATCACCATCATGACCGCTGCCGGTAGCGTGCTGCTGCGGTCTGTCCGCCACGCATGCGGAACCTGGGCTGCGCGCCCAACCCTCGCGCGCATGGCCCGGTCGCGGGCATCCCTGCACCGCGCCGCAACCGCCGCCCGCGCCGAGGAGGCGACCGACGACCTCCTCAACAGCCCCCGCGAGTTTATGGACTACGACGTGGTCATCGTTGGCGCAGGCCCCGCGGGCCTTGCCGCCGGCATCCAGCTGCGCAAGCGCGCCGCAGAGTCTGGCCAGGAGCTGTCCGTGTGTGTGGTGGAGAAGGGCGCCGAGGTTGGCGCGCACATCCTCTCCGGCAACGTGTTTGAGCCGCGTGCGCTGGACGCGCTGATTCCCGACTGGAAGGAGCGCGACGCGCCCATTGGCACCCCTGTCACGGAGGACCAGTTTCTCGTGCTGCCCAACGAGACGTCGTCCTTTGCCATCCCCAACGCGCTGCTGCCAAAGCAGCTGCACAACGAGGGCAACTACGTCATCAGCCTGTCCAAGGTCGTGCGCTGGCTCGGCGAGTACGCGGAGGAGCTTGGCGTGGAGATTTTCCCGGGCTTCTCTGCCAGCGAGGTGCTGTACGGCAACGACGGCGCCGTCAAGGGCATCGCCACGCGCGACATGGGCATCAACAAGGACGGCACGCCAAAGGCAACCTTTGCGCGCGGCATGGAGCTTCGCGCGCGGCAGACGCTCTTTGCAGAGGGCTGCCGCGGCAGCTGCAGCGAGGAGGTGATGAAGCAGTTCAACCTGCGCGAGGGCGTGCAGCCGCAGACATACGGCCTCGGCGTCAAGGAGGTGTGGGAGATCCCCGAGGAGAACTTCAGGCCCGGGTTTGTGCAGCACACGCTCGGCTGGCCGCTGCAGCAGGGCCTCTTTGACAAGACGTTTGGCGGTTCCTTCCTGTACCACATGGAGCCCAACTTGGTCCTTGTTGGCTTTGTTGTCGGCCTCGACTACGAGAACCCGTACCTCTCCCCATACGAGGAGTTCCAGCGCTGGAAGACGCACCCAGCTGTCCGCAAGCACCTCGAGGGCGGCGAGTGCATTGCGTACGGCGCGCGCTGCCTCAACGAGGGCGGATACCACGCCATCCCCAAGCTCACCTTCCCCGGCGGCGCCCTGCTCGGCTGCAGCGCAGGCTTCCTCAACTCGGTCAAGATCAAGGGCTCGCACACGGCCATGGAGTCTGGGCGGCTGGCGGGCAACGCCGTGTTTGACGCGCTCACGTCGACCGGCACCGCGCCCGTGGCGGAGACGGGCGAGATCAGCGCAGAGGAGGCAAGCGTCGAGGTGCGGGAGTACCAGGCTAGCATGGAGAAGTCGTGGGTGTTTGACGAGCTGAAGGAGGTGCGCAACTGCCACCAGGCGTTCCACTACGGCGTCGGCCCCGGCCTGGTCCACTCTGGCCTGTCCACGTTCATCACGCGCGGCAAGGAGCCATGGACGCTCCCCAACGACAAGACAGACGCCGAGCGCACGCGCCCTGCGGCCGAGTTTAAGCCCATCGAGTACCCCAAGCCCGATGGCAAGCTGACGTTTGACCTGCTCTCCAACCTTGCCCGCAGCAACACCTACCACGAGGACCAGCCCTCCCACCTGCGCGTGAAGCCCGAGCTGAGCGATGTGCCGGCCGACGTGTCGTACCCCGTGTACGCGGCGCCCGAGTCGCGCTTCTGCCCCGCGCGCGTGTACGAGTACTCGGATGGTAGCGACTCTGCAGACGGCAAGCCACAGCTCATCATCAACGCACAGAACTGCGTGCACTGCAAGTGCTGCTCCATCAAGACGCCGCGCGAGTACATCAACTGGACGGTGCCTGAGGGCAGCGGCGGCCCCAACTACGAGGTCATGTAAACGCAACGGTGATTCAACAGGAAGACGCGGGCGGGAGAGAGGTGTGACCATGCATGCACGGTGACGGCTGTTGATCATGGCTGTTTGGCGTGTTGGTTGTGCTTCCGCTTTGGGTGTGTGTATCTGCTTTGCCTGCCGCCTCCTTCCGTCCCGTAACCTTCCATGTCGTGTTATGTGAACGCGAATGGCAGCCAGTGCGTTTGTGGTGTCGTTTGTTTGGTTGACTTGTTGTGTTGTGTTGTGTTGTGTTTTGTTGTGTCGTGTCGTGTTGATGCTGTGTTGTGTTGTGATACTGCTGCTGACAGTCTCCGTGCTGAGTTGGGCAATGGCCTGCGCATGCGTGATTTTGTGGTGAGAGATATGCATCTCTCCCGTTGCTCCCTCGCTCGCTTGCCTGCTTTCTTGTTTCCATCAAGACAGTACACGGACTTACACACAACTCCCGCCGATTACACGCGGGTAGCGTTTGGTTTTGTTTATTATGCAGCTCGCTCATTCATTCATGGGCGAGGTCAGAAATGACGTGTGTGAAGGAATCAAATCAATGAGGGGAGAGCAAATGCACGCACACGCGCACACACACACATATCATACACACACACACACATATCATACATACACACACACACACTCACTCACTCACTCACACACACACACACTCACACACACACACACACACACACACACACACAAGTTAGTATTCTGAACACAAGCACGTGCCGCCTTCGAGACTTTCGCCACATTCGTAGCAGAAGCGAGCACCACAGTGGCAGAGCATCTCATTGCAGCCCGTCTCACGCTCCACCGCAACAGCACAGGACGGGCACTTGCGCGCGTTGTCGTTGAGCCAGCACGCAAGCTCGCTGTCTTGCATCATGTCCTTGAAGTGACCCTCGTGGGAGGTACGCTGGTTCATAACAAACAAGGCGCCAAGGAGAACGTCCACCACGTGCACATCTGGCGGCTTGACCTGCAGGTCGCAATCTGGTGCGATGCAGCGGATGACACGTGCGCCGTCCAGCACTTGCACCCGATACCAATTGGCCAAACACTCGCGGCACGCGCTGTGCCCACAACCCTGCGTAACCCACTGTGTGTATTGTGTGCGTGTGTGGGTGTATTGTGTGTGTATTGTGTGTGTGTGTGTGTGTATTGTGTGTGTGTGTATTGTGTGTGTGTGTGTGTATTGTGTGTGTGTGTGTGTGAGTGTACGTGTGCACGTGTGCACGTGTGTACATGCGTGCGTTCACACAAGCAGGAATGCGATGTCAAGAAATACGAGTCGAAGCAGAGCACGCGCGCATACATGCAGTTGCCGTTGACATGACAACTTACGTGCTCAGAGGCCCAGGAATGCACACTTGGGTAGAGGAGGGTGTCTGGGGTTAGGCAGACGGGGCATTCGCCGTTCTTCGAAACAACTGTGGTGCAGTGCTCGCACTCGCCCTTGTGGCCGTTCACGCTCTCCAGCAACATGCTCTGCGCACTGGCGTCGACACCAATGATCGACAGCTTGTAGTTCATCTCGTCGTTGTTGTTCCAGTGCGTCTGCTCGCCAGCGCGGTAACAGATGCACAGCTCCACCTCATGCACGTGCGGTGCAAAGACCACATCAGCCTGTCCACATCGCAAGTGTTGATGGGTGTTGGTGGGTGTGTCGAGGAAGGTGGGACAGGACGTGAGTGAGCACGCCAGGGCCACAACTACAATACAATGCGCAAACACGCACACACGCACACACACGCACACACACACACACACGCACACACACACACGCACACACACAGACATAACGTCACGCAGACACACACACACACGCACACAATGCAGACACGCGCGCACGTGCACGATTGGCTCACCGAGAAGGTCATGTACTGGAGTTCAGCTGCGTCTGAGGTGGTGCTCTTGCGAATGCCAACTTGTGTTGCTTTCGCATCGCTGTATGTGGCCCAGGCGTCGTCTGTGTACCGCACAAACACGTGCTTCTTGGGTGCGACGTTGCGCACTGCAATGAGCAAAGTTACGCTGTCCTTCCCCAGGAAGTTCACAGCGAAATCAACGACACGATCCTGTCGAGGGGTCCACGCCCGGTTGAGGCACACCAGTGCGTTGGTGAACACGGGGCACACACCTAGCTTCTCCTCCTCATCGTCCTTCTCCTGCTTCTCATTCCTTTCCTCTGTGGATTTCTCGTTCTCCTGCGCTTCTCCCTGCGTCAGGTCAGCTTCCTCCCCGCTCTGCACATGGGCGCCCGTCTCCCTCTGCTCTTCTTCTTCAGCAAGAACCGTGTCGTTGCTTTCTGCCTCTGCCTCCCTCACAACCATGCCACCTTCTCCCGCTTCCTCCGCCTCGTCAGCCTCCGCTCGCTTGACGTGTGCGTCCTCATCCCGATCGCCGACCTCAGGCGTCGCGGACCGCGTCGATGTGGCGCTGCACTCGTCTGCTGCTGCTGTTGGTGTTGTTGTTGTTGCTGTCGTCATTGTGTCTGCTGTTGTTGCTGCTGTTGCTGTTGTTGTGTCTGCTTCTGGTCTGTCTGCTTGTGTTGCTGCCGTCGCTGCAGTCTGCAGATTGGCGAGTTTCTCCTCGGCTTTGGCTTGCACGCCCATGAGCCGGGACAGCATCTGCTTCATGGCTGCCAATTGCGCCTCGATGGCGGCTTGCTGCTGCTCCTGCTGCTGCGCATCCTGCATGCGCTCGTCGCTCACGTCGCTGCGACCTTCGCTGTGGCAATGCGCCATCGTCTTGTCGTCGCTCTTGTGCTGTTCCATCTCCGTCAGTGTTGCTCTCGTGTGGGGGTTATGCTGGCTCGTGTATCTTGAGCATGAGCTTTGAGTAGAGGGTATGATCAACAGACAGGGTCAGGTGATCGAGCTGTGAAAATGAAAGGTGCGACATGATGACAATGGCAAGGGCAACAGCAGGGCTGAGCAGTGCGAGGAACGGGGGACACAAAGGAGATACAGGGGGAGGAAAGAGGGAAAGGGATTCTCAAGAAACAACTCAGAAAAAAAAAAAAAGCACGGCGTGTAACAGTCCAAAACAAAACCGCTGGCATGCGCGTGTGTGTAACTCAACACACTAGTTGTCCACATCAGACACAATCATTGCTGCGTCGTGTAACGTTTGACGGGAGGTGGCTGGGGGCACAAAGCCATAAAAGAACAAGCAAGCAAGAAGCAAGCAATAGGGATGAAGGACGAACACACAAGCACAAGCATATGCGCGTAACATAACTGTGCACACACAAATACAAACAAACGTTCAGCAGTCCTGCCTAGCGACTGAATTCAGTCGCCAATGGCGAGGTAGGAGCCATCAAAGCCAAAGGCCACTTCCTCCCCATCATCGCTTGCGTCGTTGAAGCGCGGCAGCACAGACTCTTGTCGTTGCTGCTGCTGCTGCTGCTGCTGTTGTTGTTGTGGAGAGGGTACATGTGTCTGGGGCCCACCATGCTTGCTTTTTCCTGCTTGTGTGGCTGGCGGTGGATCTTCGACCTGAATGTAGCCGCCATCTTCTTCTGTCTGCTCGCCATCCTGGCCATGACTTCCAAAACGTGGCAGCACATCGCCAGCATCAGCACCCGTACCGGTGGCCAGCGCCGGCTGGGTCTCCTGTACTGACGAAGGAGAATTCGCCTGCGGCTCTCCTTGCTGCTCCTGCTGTTGTTGCTCTTTTGGCTGTTGTTGCTGCTCCTTAAGCTGACTCTCCTCCTCCTCCTCCTCCTCCTCCTCCTGTTGTTGTTGTCGCTGCTTGTCTGCCTTTTGCTGCTTCTCTTGCCTTCGTGCCTCCTTCTTGGACGCCTTTCGCTGCAGTTTCTCCTGCTTCTTGCGCTCTTTCTCTTGGCGCCTCTGCTCCTTCTTCGACTGTCGGCGACTCGCCCGCGAGAGGCCCTTGCCCTTTCCCTGCTTTGCAGCCCCTGCCACCGTCTCCGCCTCCCCTCCCTGGTCCTCATCAGCAACATCAATGTACGCGTCGACCATATCGCCGCCGCCTCCACCGTGACCTGCCGATGCTGTATCACCACTCTTGCTCTTCGGCGCAGGTGCAGGAACCACATATTGCTTGCCTGCAGCCAATCCCGCACAACACACGTAACCAACACAACCATCAGCGTCAAGCTGAGGGGGGGGGGGGCGAGATTGCAGGCACAACGCGTACGCACGCGCTTATTTCACAAGCATGGAGAGTGAAAGGGAGGGTCTTCCACAAACGCACACACACACACACACACACACACACACACACACACAAACAAAACAAAACGAGCACGCACACACACGCACACACGCACACACACACACACACACACACACACACACACACACACACACACACACACACACACACACACACAAACAAACAAAACAAAACGAGCACGCACGCACGCACACACACACACACCTGAAAAGCCGAATGAAACCTCCTCAACGTCGATGTACGCGTCGTTGCCGGCATCTGCGCTCTCTTCACCAAAGCGTGGCAGGCTGGCTTGGTCGCTCGCACCTGGTGCAGAGGCGCGCTGTACCTCATTGCTGGTGGCACTTGCAGAAGGAGCACCACTGACGGCCTGTTGTCGCTTTGGCTGCGTCACATCCATGTACCCCTGCTCCTCCTCCTCCTCTGTGAGGAACGAGGGGAGCGTGGTTGCTGTGGCGGTGGCATCGGAGCTGCTGCGCCCGAGACTTGACGACGATGTGCGACGGCTGGCGCCTCGTGAAGTGCCTGCAGGCACGTGTGTGTCGCTGTCACCACCACTCCACGGCGCACTGCACTCCTGCGCATCTGGGTACAGTTTTCGGATCAGGTTCGCGCACTCGGCGTGGCGGAAACGCAGTGCAATGTCAAGCGCCGTGCTGCATACGCGCGTGAAATACCGTGTCAGGTAGAGCGGGAGTCGTGATTAGATCGTGGGGCACACGGTGGTGAAAGTACAATCAACAGTGGCAGAAAGCCAGCGGGCCAATCAAGAATGTGCAAAGGAGAGACAAGTGAAAAGGCATGCACCCGCGCACGTGATGGTGGAGAAGACCTGATGTCTTTCACACAAACACAAACACAAAAACACACACATGCACACACACGCACACAAACACACACACACACACGCACGCAGACGTACTGGCCATCTTGGTCAAAGTCGAGGGTGACGCCGTGATCTGCGAGGGTTCGGACGGCGGTCTTGCGCCCGTTCCTCGCAGCCCAGAAGAGCGGAGAATAGCCGTATCTGCACGCTCGCAGGGCGCAAGAGAGACAGAGGAGACAGACGGAGGAAGAAGCGAGATGGTGGATGCATGGCATAGGTCAGGGATTGGGAGTAGAGGTCAGGAGGGGAGGGTCACCAGCAGCGACAAACACCACCACGCGCACGCACACGCACACACACACACACGCGCGCGTGCAGACTCATACACACGCACACACACTCATGTCACTCACACCCTCGCACACACGTACAGACTGATACACACACGTGCCCCCTCGCCCCTTTATCTCGTTCAAACACGCACTTGTCTTTGGCAGAGGGGTCTGCGCCGGCATTCATGAGGGCGTGGATGGTGGGACCACTGCCGCGCCCGCAGGCCGAGTGAAGTGGCGTGATACCCGTGTCGTCAGGTAGCATCTTCGCTTTGAAGTCCAGCAAAGCAATGACAGCATCAGAGTGCCCGCCTACAAAAGAACAGGGGCCAGGGAGTATGTGTGGAAAGACACGAGCATGGGTTAGTCTGAATGGATCGGTGGAGAACAAGAAGATGCACGCTTACTCAGACACGCAACCTTGATGAAAATGCATGGCGCAGAAAGTACACACAATACATACTCACTGAATGCACACACACACACACATACTCACACACTCACACACACACAACTTTCTCTCTCTCACACATTCCATGCGTAAGCGCAGATCATAAGCACAAACCTTCCTCCCCGGCCCCACCTCCCCCCCCCCCCGGCCATCATTCGCACCTCTTGCTGCCATGAGAAGAGGAGTGACACCCTTGTCGTCCTTGGCGTTGACATCCGCTCCAAAACGGCACAGCGCACGAACACACGGCACGCGACCAGCACGCGCTGCCACCGATCCGCAACGGCACGAAGCACACACACACACACATGTAAACACACACACACACATGTGCACATGCTCATTGGGTGAGCCACTGTCTGTGATGACCAGAGCAGAAGCAGGACCTGTCGTGGTGCAGTTTTGACACGTGCCGCATACGGGCCTGCGCCCTCTGCTGCGAGAAAAAAGAAACAAACATCACAGTCACAGACCTGCGTAGTGAAGTGGTGTGGCACCTGTCTTGAAACTGACTTGAGGGTTGTCTGCGGAAGCGTTCACGTTTGCTCCCGCCTGGAGCAGGGCTTGTACAACACGCAGCTTGCCATTTGAGACAGCGTGGTGCAGTGCCGTTGCCCCGACTGCATCCCTGGCATCCACACACCTGTACATGTACAAGGCAGAAACAATGATGAACGCGCTCAACAAGAACTCGATCAACTGCACTGCCTACGTGCGTGTGCTTGTGGTGTTGTTGTGTTCGTTTTGTGTTGCGTGTGTGCTTGTGCAAGCGTGATTGCTCAAACTAGCGATCGCAACAGCTGCTCGACACCATTCACACGCACACGCACATTCATATGCACACACAGCGACACACACACACACACACCTGTGTTTCTTGACAAGGAACGCCACCTTCTCTGCGTTCCCTTCCTCCACTGCCGAGAACAGCTGCTGCACCACATTCATGCTTGAGTTGCTTGCTTGCTCAGTTGTTTGGTGGTGGTGGCGCGGTTGTTGTTTGTTGTTGTTGTCCCCTCAAAGTTTGCCGAAAATTGATTGTATCTTCCTTCAATCGCCAAGACTTGAAGCAACAAAACACCAAGCAAGTCCTTCGTGCTGCGCGACTTGTGTGCTCAGTGTGCTCAGTGTGCCGCTGCGCTGCGCCCTCGCTTCAGCAATCTCCCTCTCCATCGCGCAGACACAAATACTCCCCCTCACTCTGGCATGGCTGTTTCGTTTCAAGTCCGTTTATGTGTCTGAAAACAAGAACCAAAAGAAGGAGGAACAATGTACAACAAGAGGTAAGCGTGTCCAAAGAAGGGAAGCGTTTGCCTGCGGAACTCCCCAATGACCGCAAGCAAGCCAGTTGGCGACGGTGATCACACCACATCACGTCAGTAACAGTGGGCACGAAGGGTGTATGTGTGTGTGTGTGTGTATGTGCGCATGTGGTGTGCGTGTGTGTGCGTGTAAGTGCGCATGTGGTGTGTGTATGTGCGCATGTGGTGTGTGTGTGTGTGTGCGCGCGTGTGGTGTGTGTATGTGCGCATGTGGTGTGCGCGCGCTTTTGTTCATCAACAAGAAACTCAGGCACGGTGTACGTCGTGCTCCAACTGGTAGATGCGGCCCTTCAAGTTCTGCAACAGCACATAGCACACGACACAGCACAGAGACACGGAGAATGAGAAATCGGCCATTCAACACAAGCAAATGCTCGCATGAACACATCACTCAGCGTGTTACCTGGAGACTGCCGACCATCTTGCTGGTGCGTGCGGTGGCCTTTCGAATGTCCTGCATCATCTGGAAATAATGCCGCAGCAACCGCACAGCGACACACAAGCAAGCACACACATGAGAGAAAGGCTGATTACTGAAGAGTGGTAAACCAGAAAGCACGTGTCCCACGAGCCTCGTAATCACGCGCATGCGCACCAAGAACACACACACACACACTCACTCACACACACACACACACACACACACACACACACACACACACACACACACACACACACACACACACACACAAATAGAGCAAGCTCCCGTCTCTTGTGTCCCCGTGTACCACCCCATCACCGACTCTCCTCTGCCCTCCATCGACGCCCTTGGTGATTATGGTACATACATGCGAGTGCTGGTCGTCGTTCTGGCTGCCATGAAGAACGAGCTTGTACATGCTCTTCTCCAGGTCCTTCATCTTTGTGCGCAGCATCTTGATGTCTGTCTTGTACCCTTCAACCTCCAGCGCCCGCCTGCGCTCCAACTCGTGATATCGCGCCTTCCACATGTCGGCCCGCTTCGACTGAGACTTTGCCCTAAAAGCACAAGTGGTTGTGTGTGTGAGAAGTTGTCAGCACTCGTATGAACATGCCGACTCAAAGAAGGCTGTAGACATCAACACAAGAGGCACGCCACTCGCGAAAACCCAAGCAGCCGCCCACGTATGCACACACACACACACACACGCACACACGATCTGTGGCACACCCCACGCAATCGCATGAGCAAACTTTCCGACCAACAAACACACCACGACAGACACGCCACGGGCACGAACTTTTTGTTCTCGTATTTCTTCGCCGCCTCACGTTCTTCCTTCAGTCTGCACAACTCGTCCTCCAGCTAGCCGACAAGACCCACAATAAACCACACGTGCGTCCGTGAGCGTTTGGTGTGTGTGTGTGTGTATGTGTGTGTGTGTGTGTGTTCGCACAAGGTCGTGAGCTGAACTGCGGTGCAACAAGAACGGCAAAGACGTAAGACAGCAAACTGAGCACTCACAACAATACATCCCCAACGCTAATGCGCACCTGAATGCACTGTTCGCGGTACATGTCGGCGAGCGTTTCCTGCATGACCTCCTTTTGCTTTGTGTACTCGCTCTCCCGCGTGACCGCCGTATCCACGCTCGTCGCATCGCCAGCTGTCGACGGCTCGGACGGCGCAAAGGCACGTACACGCCTGGACAGCCGTGCGTGCGAGCTTGGCGCGTCAGAGGAGGCGGCGTCGCCCTCCCGGTGTGCAAGATCAGGCCGTCCACCGGGCCTGTACGCGTTGGTGCCCATGTCTCGGTATTCCTTGCTGGGCGATTCACTGCACGCAACATAGTGAAACGAGGTGAGGGCTGGTGAGGGCATAGCAAGCAGCTATTATTTTTGCTTGTAACACACACACACACACATGGTTATGCACGTATGCACGACTTGCAGAAACACGCACAAATTCACACACGGAGACGTACATACACGCACCCACACGAACGCAAACACATGCATGCAAACACACAACACACACACACACACATACGCACGTCTTGGCTGGGACAGCTTTGAGGCGCTCTTGCAAGGCCTGCAAGGCCTCTGCCTGATACATGTCAATGTCATCCTTGAGCTCTTCAATCCTCTTCAACAATCGCTCCTTCTCTTCCTCGCTGTCCCGCAGCGCGTTTCTATAATGACATAGCACATCGCTAGCGTGAGCGAAGGTACCATGCGGACATGTTCACATTCGAAGCACAAGCAACGCGCAGCCGCCCTCCGCAAATCAAGTGCAAGCACACAAAGAGGAGCAACACACTCAAAACTACACATACATTCAGAGGAGCACGCACCTGTGTTCATATTTCAGCTCGAGGTAGTCCCTGGTGCTGTCATACAAGAGGTCTTGCAAATCTTGAACCTGCAACATCAAAGCACAAGCAGAAGCATGCACGCACATAAGATATACATGAGTCCCCTTGGCAAAGAAGCACGCACAGTCTGACATTATGACACCAAATGGTAGCTGCGTTCAAGTGCATGCTGCAAGTTGCCCACCTTGTGTGTGAGCTCTTCAATCTTGCTGGCGTCGCGCTGTGCCTTGATGCGCATCTCCTCCTCACGCACGCGCCTGTCTTCCATCAGAGCCGTCGTCTGTACACGTTTGTTTGTGTGTGTGAGTGTGTGAATACGCTTGTGGTGTGCGTCCGTTTGTGGTGTGCGTCCGTTTGTGGTGTGTGTCCGTTTGTGGTGTGCGTCCGTCTGTGGTGTGCGTCCGTTTGTGGTGTGCGTCCGTTTGTGGTGTGCGTCCGTTTGTGGTGTGCGTCCGTTTGTGGTGTGCGCAGATGCATCCACATCTATGTGTGTGAAGGGTAAGAGAAGGCATGTGTGCAAGCATTTAGGTGACAACAAAGGCCACCTCTTCTCTAGAGACGCGGGCCTGATCTTCCAGCTGTGCCTTGAGGGCTTCAATCGTGAGCATGAGCGTTTGCACTTTGTCCTCCATGCCCAAATCGACATCCTCTGCTTGTTGGTTGATGTAACAATTGGCAGGTACACGACGGTGAGCAACCCATACTGCCTGGGGACCACGGGTACCAAACGCAAGCAATATATACAGGAGTCAAAACAGCGAACCTTCGGTCGCTGGTGCTCTCCCCTCTGTCTGCCGTCTCTGCTTCTCTGCCTGTGTCATACGCAACCATGTACACATGCTCGTGAGACATGCATCGACACACACGCAAACGCCAGCCGCGCTGTACTCACATACACACACGCACACGCACACACTCACATACACGCACACGCACACGCACGCACACGCACGCACACGCACGCACACGCACGCACACGCACGCACACGCACACACTCACATACACGCACACACACGTACTGCACACAGTTGCACTTTGAAACAACACCCAGCGCCGTTAACATTGCCAGCACCTTCGCACCCCTCCATCCCCACTCACAATGGCTGTCTCTGCCGCTTTTCCCCGTGCGACAACCGGCCTTGAACGGCTGGGGTCCTGGAAGTAAGTTGTCTCGTGCTCCAGCGGCTGTGACATGGCTGAGGATGAAACGGGCACAATTCGATGCAGGCCAATGGCAACAAGAAATTGATACCGTGAGCACAGCGTGGAATGCTGTCAGCGCAAGGTTAACGAAAGCCAACCTACTCAATACAGCGCACAGACACACCCACAAACACCTTTGATTGTTCACATTCACACAGACACGCATATGAGTACTATTAGTAATTACTCACACGCTTACACCCCACTTCACAAGCAACACACACACACACACATACACACATACACACACACACACTCTCTCTCTCTCTCTCCGTTGCTGCGCTCCGTTTCTGTCCACACCAAGCAGTTTCTTGATCTTCTTTCGGTCCTCCACTTCTTGCAGTTTCAGCCGGTCGTTCTCAGCATAGAGCCGCAGCACTACCATAAAATGTGAGTCATGCATGCACGTATGTCATGTGCAAGCGGTTCAAGTTGAGAGGGCGGTGTGAGATCACCCACACTGGCAATACATGTGCTGCAACAACAACCACCACCAGACGAGCATTCTTGCGCAAAGCATCTCCCACTCTCCTTCTTTTTCTCCTTCTGGTTCTGTGGTTCAAACTTTGACAACTCACCGTGTTCTCGCTCCTGGAAGAGGTACACCTGCATATCACTGAGCGCCTTTTGCAATTCGACAATCTCCTGTTCCCTCTGCGCCATCTCCCACTGCAACTTGTTCTGCGCAGGTGCGTGTGTGCATCGTAGAGTGTGTGTGTGTATGTGTGTATCGTGTGTGTATATGTGTGTGTATCGTGTGTGTATTGTGTGCATATGTGTGTATATGTGTGTGTGTATCGTGTGTGCATGTGTGTGTGAGCGTCGTGGTATGTGTCAGCGTGTGTTGGCAGCTGACGGCGATAATGCAGGCATGCCCCTTTCTCCCACGCAACACCAAACTGCACCATACCTTGTCACTGCATGCTTGCTTGTACTTGTCCAGCTTGCCCAACATAGAGGAGTGTTCTGCGTCAAACTCGGCCAGCTTCTGCCGATAAAACTCCAGCAGCTCCTGTGCACGCGTGTGCATGTGTATGTGAGGAGGGTAGGCGGGTGTACACGCATGTGGGCCGGCGTGGATATGTGTACGTGGCAAGCGCCCAGTTACACCAACCCATGATGAGCTTACGCCTTGAGACACTTACACCACACAACTGCAAGGAGGGGGGAGCATGTATCACCACAAACAAACACAGCACAGCACAAGGTCAAGGTCAAGGTACACCACAACGACCACTACAACCATCATCACCACCACAACAAGCATCGTCATGATCATCAACAACACCCAACCCCAAAAACACACCACGCTCACCTTTGAAGGGCGCAAGCCTTTCAACCGCTGAGTGATGGGAGGCAGAGGCGACAAGTTGACCACATCCTGATCAACGCCGTCCATGTTGCCTGTGTTGGCCAGGCCGTCTCGCTCGCTGCCCTTGTTGTCTTGTGGTCGCAGCGCCCTCTGCTCAGACTCGCTTCTTGGTTGTCCTCCCTTTCCTCGATTTCAAAAGTTTCGCGGCACACAGTGTCAACTTTGACAGCTGCCACGTCCTCACAACAAATTCGCGTGAAATTCACCCTTTTTTTTTCTATTGCTTGTTGTCTGCTGTAAAAGCAAGCAAGAAGCGAAAGAGGCAAAGACCAGAAGAGAAGGCGAAGATGGCAAACCAGCCCACGTGCACTTGCGTGGCATGTTCATTTATTTCTCCTCATCGCTCTCAAAGCACTCTGATTTCCCCCCCCCCCGACACCCGACGTTATGGCCACCCTAAGATGAAGAAGGCATGCAGCGAGGTGTGTGTCTCAACTCCAATACCCCTTCCACCATGCTTCTTTTCTTTTTCCCACAGCTGTGTTCTGTTGGCAATGAGGATTAACTTTATCAACTGAGTTGATTTCACAACAACCACGGAGTTTGTGTCCTCGTGTGCTTGCTTGGTGCTTGTCCTCGCCGTGTATTCGGCGTTGGATGACCCATCAACGCCTTGGATGCGCTTCGTTGGTATTACACCCGTGCTGACAATTGTTTCACCACTTCTTTTTCCTGAGCCAACACAGCATGTCACACTCTTTTGTTTTCCTGAGTGCTCTGTACCTGTCGCATCCCTCTCCGTCTGCTTCCATGCAACACACGCCAAGCCAAGCCATATGATTTTAAAGTGTTAATGCACCACTCCGAACCGATGAACTTGTTCATCTTTGAGGATAACTATCTCCTTTTTATCTTAACTGATGGCTTGGTTGCGGCGGATATGGCATCACATTTGTCGTGTCGTCGTTCTTCTTCTTCTTCCAAAATCACACCTTTGCGTTTACTATGGTGAAGTGCCCTTTGCTCACCCAGCGGCATGTGCTCTCGTGTTCAGATAACCAGGTATGGCACACGTCAAGCACGTGACGATGCTATTCACACGGCCATGACAGAGGCCTAATCTGCGGCAACACTCCACTCTTTGTCAGGTACAAGACTAAACCTCCACCCAAAGCTACCACCCCTTGCCCCATTTTCTACTTTCATTTTCTACTTTTCTTTTCTCCCCTTGGTCAAGTGACGAAACTCAAAGTGTTAACGCCAGTTCTGCTACTGAATACCTTGATGTGAACGCACCATTTCTATCTGATGACCAAATTACTGTTGCTGCACGCACAAGCGCGTGTGAACCTGTCTTGTCTCCCCTTTTCCTTCTGTCCCCCCCCCTTGTTCTCTCTTGCTCCACTCGTCCCTCGTCCTTTCTTTTTCACTGCTTTTTGTTGGTCGGCACCACGCCCGCGATCTTCATGTTTCGAGGTTGATTGTCGCTTACTTCAGGTTGCCTAAAGAAACACTTGTCACATGCAACCGCTTGGTGGATATGCCTTGTGGGGCTTCGTGCCCCACCATGGCTAACACTTGTGTTCTGTGTTGAATTTTTCAACACGTGCATGGACGACATCACCTCTTCTCCTTACCCCTTTTCTTTCCCTTTTGTGTTGCATCTGCTTTCACATTTGTGACTCCGAGACTTTTTCTTTTCTCACAGCAACACATCCTATCTATCTTCAGGTGATTCAGAATGGCAGCAAGAGCCACGACGACGCGAATGACGCAGTGCAGCTGCGTCACCCTACGGTCGGCCATCTTTCGCAGTTCTGCTGACAAACAGGTGCGTCGTTTGAGTGGTCTCTGTTTTGCTCGCGGGCCCCCAAGTCCCCCCACCCCACCCCCAAACACGTGTGTGAAATGAGGAAACCTTATTCCAACGTTGAAACCCAAAACACCATGTGACCTTTTGACTACAACTCTCCGATCACACACACACACACACACGTACACCTGTCGTTTGTTTTCCATGTGAAGATGCCACCACTGCTCTTTGAGAGCTGATATTGTTTTTACTCATTTTGAGCACATGTGTGGTTGTGATTCCTATTGTTTCAGGACCCGAGCTAGGTTTGCCACTGCAGCATCGATTTGCTCCTCTGTGGTATCGCGACCCACGGACCAGCGCATGGCGCGGCGTGCTGCATCGATCATGCGGGGACAACGGCCGAAGGCCATACGTACGTGTGAACTCATTTGTGTTGTTGTGCCGTTTGAAGTCATGCAACCATCACGCATGCACGCACTGTGGCATAGCACTTGCCTTGTTCGTGGTCGATGCCCAACGCCATGAGAATCTGTGATGGTCTGGTGACCGCGACACACAAGTAAACACCACAGCTTATTGAATGAATGAATGGACGAGCATCGGGGAGATGTGTGGCTTGTGAACAACAACTGGGGGGGGGTGACAATTCATACACGAGCGTGCGCATACACACCTGTCGCCGCAATCTGAGTGGCAGGCGGAGCCCACAGAGGCGCATATGGAGGGCAGCTGTTTCAGGATGGCCCGCCCAGACAGGTCTTCAGTGAACATGCACACAATGACGGCGTGAGTGAGTTAAGAAGCAGGGTGGGCGAAAATCACAGACAAACGGACAGTGGTGTGCACGAGCACCTGAAGACATGATGGAGAAGTTGAGGGTGTTGGGCAGGACGGCGGTGTGCAGCGAGTCTGCTGGGCCGTTGATCCTCACGGCATCCGTGCCAAACGCAGCCTGAGAGGGAGAAAGGGTGTGTGTGTGTGTGTGTGTGCGTGTGTCTGTGTGTGTGTGTGTCTGTGTGTCTGTGTGTGTCTGTGTGTGTCTGTGTCTGTGTGTGTCTGTGTGTGTGTCTGTAATGAATGATGCGGTGATTTCGCGATGTGTTGACACAAGTTGAACCTTGAGCTGGGCATGGAGATGGTCCCGCATGCTCTGCATGTGATCGAGATACTCAGGCAAGTGGTCACACACGAGCTGGCATGCCTGCAAGAAACGCGCGTGTGAAAGCATGTCATCGAAATTAAAACATGGCATGCACGCTGTGAAGTTGGGAAGCAGCAAGTCGCGGGATGTGATACTCAAGCAAACAAGGCACTGACCGCCCCAAAGCCAGCAATCATGGGTGTGTTCTCTGTACCGGGCCGGTAGTTTCGTTCCTGTCGACACACACATACACACGCACACATACACACGTGACATGCAGGCGATTCGCTATGCGAATGTAGCATCCCGGAGACGACCAGCTGCACACGTTGGCAGGTTCCCATTCACTCTCAACGCGCACATGGAAGTGAGGGGCAACACAAACCTGGCCTCCGCCGTAGAGCATGGCATGGAAAGGCACACCGCCTTCTTTGCCGAGTTGCCGCACATACACCGCACCAATGCGCGGCGCATAAAACTGGCAGTGCACACACACACACACACACACACACACACACACACACACACACACACACACACACACACACAGAGGAGCATGTGGATGGAAAGTTAGCACGGCACACTGGAAGGGCATTTGCAGCAACCACATCGCTGACATCGGTGTTGTTGTTGCCATCGTTGTTGCGCCTATCTCCACCCTGGTGTGCGCACACAACGTACCTTGTGACCAACGAGGGTGACGCAATCAGCGCGCAAGGCGTCAACGTGCACGGGTATCTTGCCAATGGCCTGAAACACAACACGCAAGTGCACAGCACAGAGGGATGTAAACACATGTAGCCGTGTCGGCACAAGTAACACGAATGAGCACGAGCGAGCAAGCAAAGCTTCGCAGAGATGCCACTGCAGCAATGCGTTCCTGCTTCTACCCTTAGGGATGTATTCCCTACCCGTACCCCCCCCCCGCACACACAAGGCACACACACACACACACACACACACACACACACACACACACACACACACACACACACACACACACACACACACACACCTGTGCGGCATCTGTGTGGAGGAGGATGTGGCTGTGCTTGGGGTCTTGTCGGATGTGCTGGAAGATGTCCGACACGGGCTGAATCACGCCAGTCTCATTGTTGGCCAGCATGATGGTGACAAGGCACGTGTTGTCTGTGAGCGCTGCCAAGACAGCGTCCACTGGCACAGCATACGTGGTGCTGTCGGCCTTGACTCGGGTGACGGCAGCTTTGTTCCCGTGCTCCAACGCGGCCAGAACCTTCTCCACAGAGTCGTGCTCGATGTTGGAGGTGATGATGTGTGGAAGGCCACTTCGCCCGGAGCGGTGGAATGCCTCCAGCGCCGTGTGGATGACATGGTTGTTGATCTCCGTGCCGCCACTCATAAACACAATCTCGCTTGCGTCCGCCCCAATCATGTCCGCCGTATGCTTGCGACTCTCGCTGATCATCTACAAATTATGGCGCGTGTGCGTGTGTGTGTGCGTGTGTGTGTGTGTGGGGTGGGGGGTTGTGTGTGCGTGTGTGTGTGTGTGTGTGGTGGGTGGGGGTGGGGTGGTGGTGTGTGTGGTGGTGGTGTGTGTGTGTGTGTGTGTGTGTGTGTGTGTGTGTGTGTGTGTGTGTGTGTGTGTGTGTGGTTTGGAGGATGTGTGATGGATTGTTGGGGGGGGGGCGTTCGCATCGAGAAGCAACACATTGTATGGAGGACAAGAGCATGTCTATGAGAGCAGTGCACCACAAGTGCCACTGTACGCACACACACACACACACACACACGCGCACGCGCACACGCACACGCATACGCACGCGCACGCACACAAGCACACAAGCACACAAACGCAAGCACACAAACGCAAGCGCACAAACGCAAGCGCACACGCACGCACACCCGCACACGCACCCAAACGCAAACACACACCTGTTTGGCGGCGAGGCCAGCAGCGTATGTGCTGGATGGATTTCCCCACGCCACGTCCATGGCCTCCACAACTGCCGCCTTCACCTCAGCAGCAAGTGGCGTCGTCGCATTGCTGTCCAGATACACGGCACCTTCCATCCTCCGCAACCCACACTGGCACGGCACACTGCACACACTCTTCCTTCCTGCAGAAGGTTGCCGTGTTTGTAGAAAAATGGTGAATGATTTGATATAATACTCTGACGATCGCTGGAGCCAACCGAACCACACAACGCAAACACCACCCCCGTCCGTTCAGGCAACAAGCACACACAACACCTGAGTGAGACACAGACACGCACGACGACTTGGCGTGACCAGGTCCCCCACCCCACTTCCTTCCCCGCCCCCCTTTCTTGCTCTACGGCAATGGCGTCTACAAGTCTCAGCGAGGCCATTCGGTGTGCGTCTGAGACGGGAACACTGCGTCTTCGCGCACTCAATTTGCGCAAGTTTCCAGAGCTGCCAGAGGACGTTGACGCCGCAGACCTTATCGAACTCGGTACGGTCCATGCGCGCAACGACAACCCGAGCACTCGTCCACAGCACACACTCACGCACACGCACGCACACGCACGCACACACACATGTCCACAGCACACACGCACACACATGGCCACAGCACACACACACAATGAAAGTGCACCTGGTTCATGACGAGTTTTTCGAAGCCAAACACACACGGATACAACATGCACGCCTTGCATTGGTTGTTTGTTGTCCGTGGAACATGCAAGTTACACACATACACACACGCACGCATGCAAACGTATACACACGCACACACGTAAACACTTTCTCATCTCTTCTTCTGCTTCACGGCTTTGCTTCATGGACTGCTGAACGCCTTTGCGTGTGGGGGCGCTTCCTGCCTTTGCTTTGGTCTTCAAAACCAGATGTGGCGGAGAACCGGCTGGTGCAGCTGCCCAGCCAGCTGCTGGATATGATTGAGCTGGAGCTCCTCAACTGCTCCCACAACATCATCACCCACTTGCCTGACTTTTCCAGCCTGCAGTCCCTGACTGAGCTTCACCTTGGGTTCGTGACACTATTGTGTTCTGCCTCCTCGCTTCTCGCGCTCCTGATTAACAGTCCGAAAGCCCATGGACACACGCACACACACACACACACACACACACACACACACACACACACACACACACACACACACACACACACACACACACACACACACACACACACGGTCACCAAAGGTTAGGCACTAACACGCGTGTGTATAAATACGCATACGCGCACACACATTGTGCAGCCTTGTCCCAACACATCCTCACATGTGGATTTCACCTTCCTTGTCCGCTTGTTTCGTTTCCCTGTGGACGTGGTGCAGGCGCAACCAGCTGAGCTCTCTCCCCGAAGACGTGTGCGAACTCCCGCTTGAGATCCTGGACATCAGCAGCAACAAAATTCATGAGCTCCCGGCCCACATTGGCAACCTCCGCGACACCCTCAAAGAACTGGTTCGTGTGTATGTGTCTGTGTGTGTGTGTGTGTGTGTGTGTCTGCGTGTGTGTCTGCGTGTGTGTGCGTATCTCTGTTTGTCTGTGTGCGTATCTCTGTTTGTCTGTGTGCCTGTCTCCTTGTGTGCCTGTGTGCCTGCCTGTTCGTCAGTATCCATGTACATGTGCTCAAGACAACTTCAAGCAATGTAACAGGTACTGGTGCCGTTCATGCGTTGTGTTTTATCTTGTTGTTGTGTGCGCAGAACATCTCCAACAATGCGCTGCGCATCTTGCCTGATGCGGTGTG